GCTTCTTTGTCGGCGCGTCGCGTCCAGACTGCCCCGATCTGCCGACAAACAGCTGATCGGCAGATCGGGGCAGCCATTTAAATTTAAATGAAGCCGCGATTATTTTAATCGCGGCTTCATTTCCCTCTTCCGATCTGGCTAATCTACATGCCTCCGTCGAAGGAGGCATGTAGTCTAGACACACCCTTAGAGAAGCAGTTCAGGCCACTGTTTTCTTCCATCTTTTATCCTGCTACTAGCAAGATGCTGGGAATTTCAGGAACAAAGACTTCCTGTTCTGACCTCTTGTTGTTAGCATTCTTCCCACACCCATCTTGCCCATCCCGGGAGGCCCTTCTCCATATGGTCACAGCTAAAAGTTCCTTGGGGTTCTGCTGGAAGTAGACTAAGTCCTTTTAACTGTTCCTTTTAACAGTTTACTGAACTATGTTATGATCAAGAAGTTTATGTCTAATAGAAACATCCCTGAAATCAGACATCCTATCACAGATGTATGTGAATGATGTAAAAGAAATGGCTACATGATGCCCTCTGTGTACCTTTACTAAAGTATTAATGCTTGCATTCAGGCTCCTGGGAATGCTGTTTCAAACTCATTGTGTTCCAAAACTTGTTTCCAAAGTAGGTGGGATCAAATTTCCCTCATGCACTAAGTGTTGATTTTAATTTGGGGATGTGTCTTGCAAAAACTGGCTGTCTAACGTATTGATTTTCTCTCTCATTACTGTCTTTTTTGGCAAACTTGAATGTTAGTATCTTACTCCTTATTGTATTTATATTTAAAATCTTCCCATTCACAGTGTTGGCCTTGGTCTTAATATTGTTGCGCACTTCAGTTTTACTTAATGGATATTCAAAAATTAAAGTATCTCAAAGCCCAGGAGTGAGGATTTCACAATGCTGGTATCATTAGAGAAGAAAAAGAACGTCTTTCAGCTTCTTTTCTGTACATATCACACTACGTCATCTCAGTGCTTGGATGTTGCTGTGTAAGAATTGCTTTTCTCTTTATCCTTGTTGTTTATTTTTCTTGTAAGTACATTGTTCATCCTCTGTAGTTGGCTTATCTTTCTGAGAAGATAGATTCCGATGTAAGCAAAGGAACAAACTGATTGGGATGCTGGGAGAGCCGTATTTATATAGTCAGCCAGTAGGGGTTTTCTGCTTTTCTCTCTATCCAACTTCAAGGGTTTAAAAAAAAACAAAAAAACAACCACCACCCAACACCCACACCACACCACACCCTTCGTTTAAACTATAAAATGATCACTCACTACAACTACAAATATGCTGGACACATCAGACCTGCCAATTCTTTCAATACAATGATTGCAAGGAATATCCAATGCTTGCCGTAAAGAGAAATGGAGGGAGCAAGAGACATATACTTAATATAAGACATTGCTTCTACTTCTCTTCTGTTTTTAACCACTGTGTGAAGGGCCAATTACAAGGTTAATAAACAATTCCGGGTTCTATCCCTACCAGATATACTACCAGCTGGAGGAAGCAAGCATAAAAAGGAGTGTTGCTCACACGAAGAAAACTGCTGTGTCTCAGGAGCTGATTGATGTTATGGTGTAGGTAAGAAGAAACCATCTGACAAGCCTTCACCACACAAAGACTTACCAAAACCCCAAAAGAAACTTGAAAGGGAAAAGGGCTTTGAAGTTGCTTGAGCGTGGCTCCTGATCACTGCTTTAACCATCACACCCTTTAAATATCATGTTGCGATACTGTAAATCAGCTTTGGTTTCAGAAGCACTTCTCTGCATAAGGGAATAGGAGAAGGAGAAGAAAAGGGGTCTGCAAACCAATAGTAGAATGTGTCAGCATCAATGGTCCTTCTAATCTTTTCCATTCATGTGTGGAATAATTTTTATGTGCACCAAGGCATATGTGAATGTGCACCATCAATATAAATGAAAAGTCTAGCTGTGGGCAGTCTGCTAATCAACTAGATGACATTTGAATCTCTCCTGAGTGGCTGCACAAGCAAACAGCCTACAGGGAACACTGGTCTGCATCCTGGTAAATTTTAGATATTTAAAAAATGGATCTATTATTAGGGACTCAAAACAAAACCTCCATTTTGCAAAGTTGTAGTAGTATCTGTCAACTAGCAATGGGAGAACCCCTAAAGGGTTTGAGTTCCGATAAATATCCGAAAGCTCATATGCTTATTCAAACTGCAGAAAGGTCTCCCTTACGGCCGACAAGCCACATTCCCCATACAATTCTTCCTCCTATGGCGAGATTCCTGTACTCATAATTGCTGTATTGAGGGGGAAGAATATCATAGTCATGGAAAACTTCAGAGATCATCTACTCCCAGTGTGTTCTGCTCCCCTTTCTATTCACTTTCTTTATTCATCTTGTACATCTATAGCTGATCCCTCATCCAGTCATGGTTGCTGTTGATTATTTTGCTTTGCTCTCTGCCAGCCAGTCTCCAATCCACATAGCACAGAGCAAGAGAGATAGGGAGAAAAAGACAGCCACCAAATAGACTCTTGCCTCTTCTACCCAGCAGCCAGTAGTGGCAGGACTCCAGAGTCCCAAAACATAAAAACTTTCCATCCTGCAGCTTGTAACAGCATAGTTTCCAGGACACAGTTTGGGACTGTGAGTACCTGATACGAGACTACAAAGCTCCAGGCAGACAGGCAATATTGGTTGGTATGGAAAACTGCAATTTCTTTTTATATACATAATTTTTTATTTTAATTATTTGAAATAATACAGGAGACAGAGGTACAATGTTACAATGATTATTAAAATAATTTCAATGCTACAAATCTTACAATGCAGATTACGCAAATCAAATCAGATGTATAGTTAATTGTCTTTGAATGCATGAAGTCTTCAAAAGACAAAGATGTCCCAGAACCCACTTTTCATACCCTGAGGCATTTCAGAATTCCAAATATCCAGCTCATGTCAAAGAAAGTGTGATCAATATAATTCTTTCCATCTTAATACATTTTTTGTTCATTGTTTCATCAAGGAACAGACTTTAAAGTAAGCAAATATATTACTTCCAGGAAATAATCTAGTCCCCAGGCCCTGTGCTTGTCCGAGAAGTCATCAACCTTCTCAAGATCCTTGATTTCACAGAATTTTCCTGAAAAAGAAGATTAGCAATGTACAGATATGATAAAAGATTACAATAATTTGTTTTTGCTTTTTCAATCGTGAACTTTTTATGCTCTTAGAACAAATCTTTCTGATCTAACTCATTTGTAGACCAGCATAAATAAGGTAACCAGCATTTAGCCCTCTTTCACAATTGTATGCCACTGTTAATTAAGAATAATTCATGCTGTTTAGATCCTTCAGAGGTTTGTGACGGGAGTAAACTACAGGAACTGTGAACCAAAGTTTAATTTAAGGCATCTCAAGGATGAAATGTCAATCTTAACTCAATTTTGTTGTTTCAGTAGTTTTACTTTCGATCTTTAATTCCCTTAACATGGTGGTTTACTATCATCATACTTTTTTTTTTGCAAGTTAACTTTGGTCTCAGAATTATAGCAGAAAACACACAGATAATGGGGCAAGGTACTTGTGTTAAATGAACAAACAATAAGGCTTGGGGGCATAGGAGGGGGGACCAACCAAAATGTCAGATCAGAAAGGACATGAGAAAATTATTATAGGGCCAGCAGTGATAATGTTGTACCAAATAAAAGCAAGCAGGATCTTATGAGGGGGATAAGGCAAAAAGCCACATTTATTGTAAAGATAATAATAAAAAATAAAGAAAAGATAGAAGCAAACAACGTTGTTTAACTACTTATTCCTAACACTACTTAACCCTTATACACTTATATATATATATATATAAACCATTCATTCATACATCCATTCATTCAAGTTCTGTGTATAGTTACCAGCCTGGAAGTTGCTTGTGACAGGATACTGGCCAGGTACTCTGTACACAAGTGATGGTAGTGGGGAGCGAAGTCCTGATCAGATGCGCATCTGAAGCTCCTGGTGGGCTGGCAGCAGAACCTTGGACTCTGATTCCATAGTTTTTTAGTCCAGTTCTTATAGGAATTTCTTCCTATGCCAGTCTATGGAAATTGCTGTATCATGCTGATGTCTCCAGGGTGGCTGCCAGGTGCTCATCAGTGATCTCATCGGGTGGACCTCCAGTTTCTCCACTTGACACCTTTTGGTTGCACTGGCACCTGACGCCTTCTTCAGCCCTTTGTTGCTGTATTCTCAGGCTGGCACCTCTCAGAGCCATTCATTCATCATCCAAGCACTCTCTCATACATTCATACAGTATTTTGTATAATAATAAAAGTTGTAGTTACAGAAAGTTTCTGGGTGGTATTGCTTAAAACATTCTCTGACTGCTAAGTAAAGTTAACAATGCCCTTAGACAATTACAGGGCTTGGCTCCCATAGCAGAGTTAGTGGCTTGACAATGCATTGTTACAATGTATCTCTGCAATGTCAATTTCAAGCAGCCCCTTGCACAAGCTTGAGCATGCCCTGGAGCACAGAGAGAGGGGGGGGGGCTGTTTCTGGTTACATAGGATTATATTCTTAACAGTTAGGATTATATTTTTAACAGTTCTAAGTTACATGACCTAATATATTATATTCTAAAGGGGCAATAATAATCATAAATCTAAACATTTAACAATCTTAACAAATAATAATAATAAGAAGAAGAATCCTAATAAATCTAAACACTTTAAGTTGTGGGGAACAAATTATGGGGAGTCACTTCCATTTGGGGGAATCACATTTTTAATACATTAATATGTTATCCCTACAATAAGCTATGGGATAAATGAACATAGGGATATAGGTTGAATTATGGGATAGGGATGTTACATTTTGAGTAATTGACTAATTGAATAGTTGATATAATTTGTATCCACTATTGGATTAGTCAATAGGGCACCTCCACCTTTGGAACAGTGCAGGGCTGTTGCTATATTTCAAAGGCGAAAGCACTGTGGGGAGCACGGACTGGCAGGACAGTCCCCTGCTGGCCCCATGTTCCCCACAGTATTTCAAAGCGGCAGTGCCACGGGGAGCCCGGGATCAGCTGGCGATTTCCCCGCTGACCCTGGGCTCTGTGTGGCGCTGACGCTTAGAAACGTTGCAGGGTGCCCAGCGTCAGTGTGGCACTGCCGCTTTGAAATGCTGCATGCAGCCTGGGGACACTGCCACTGAGTACCACCTCCTCTTCCCCCACCACTTGCTGCCTCTTTCTGACAGAGGCAACAAGAGGAGGAAGGGAAGTGACTACTCAAGTAGACTAGCCGATAAGCATTTGCTTGTCGACTAGTCGTCCACATCCCTATTATTGAAGACTCCGCATGGAAAGTAACCTTGGGCCATAGGGACTGTACATGTCTTATTGGTAGCACAGGTTCATATTTCCTTTACAGTGTGTATTTAAACAATGAGCCTATATATCTTTCAGGGAAGTGATGTTTGTTGTGCATATCAATAATCTTGGAGTGAAAAGGTATTTATTTTCACACTGTATGTCTCCCCAGATTTTGTACATGAAGCAAACATCCTTATAGGCTTTCTTCTCAATTGCTTCAGAACAAGTCAAAATACTAGAATATCAACACATTTGTTTGCGACGTTTTGGAAAAATCATAACTGCAGTGGAGTTAACCTACCAAATAAACTTTTAATTTCAGTATCAGGAACATAAAATGGTGGACCTGGGGAGAAAAAGGGAAAGTTGAATCAGCAAAAGTCATAATGACTCTTCTAATATTATAATGAAGCAAACACTGGCCAAATATATTTTAACATTTTCTCTTATAAAAATGAATTATTATAGGTTATTTTACAATGTTTTTCAAGAGCTGTTCAATAAGCAGTGGAAAACCTGTTTGTATTAAGTTAATAATTATCAAGGAAAACTGAAGGCACGTCTGGGCTTAATAAAAATAATTCATCAGCCCGATATAATACTTAACATGTATATAAAGCTTTTCATCTTCAAAGCATTTTGCAAACATTCATTAATGAATGATTATACCACCTGGAGGAAGCCATGCCTGATTTTAGGTCATGAGGTACTGAAAATCCTGCCTTAGTGCCCATCATAAATATAATATGATTTTCAGATAATGAGGGTGCAAATGAGGGAGCAAAGCTAGAGTAAGGGAGGGGTGGCAACAAAAGGGGTAAACAGGACACACTTTATAAAAAATAGTGAAGGCAACATTGTTTTTCATTTTGTTTCACAATTCCCATCTTCCTTCCCCCCTGCCCTTTTTAGCATTGAGATCAAGCATGAAAAATTTCTGCCTTTTAGGAATTTTATTCCAAAGCTGAGAAGCAAGTGGAAACAGGGTTATAAAGAATTTTCAAACAAACAAACAAAACATCATAAACTTTTACTACCATGAATGTTAAAAATAAACAGAAACACATACAAAATCTGGACACCAAATTTGTTGACACAAACAACTGAGGCAAAATTTTACCATATACATATTGAAAAAAGTTTTTCCTGCAGGGTGACAAAGTGATATCACGTTACTCTACGCTGCCCTCTCCCCCCCCCAGGCTCCACAGAGCTCTCAGGACTGTTCTTCCCACCCCTTGTAGCCCCCGGCTGCCCTGAAGGAGGATCAGTGGATGGCAGCAATGGCTCCTTGCTGCACTGGGGACCCCAATGCTCCAGGACCCAGCAGGGAACCACTGCTTCCGGCAGCTCGGGCCAGGAGCACTGGGGCCACCGCTTTTCTGGAGCTCCAGCTGGGAACTTCTTGCCCCCTCCCCCTGCAAGATTAGTACACCAGTGCCAGCTTCCTGTGGGGGAGCGGGGAGAGGAGAAAACCCCGAGGCTCCACGCCAGAGGCCCCCTTCTTCATAGCAGCGTGTGCGCTTCTCTGCAAGCTGCCTCCGGTACGGAGCCTTGGGCCTCTCTTCCCTGCAGGAAGCCGACGCTGGTGCACTAATTTTACGGGGAGAGGTGGGTCTCAGCTGGAGCTCCAGGCATGCAACATCCCCAGCATGCCTTGCCCCAGCAGCCAGAAGTAGTAGTTCCCCGCTGAGCGTCAGGAACCCCAGAGCAGCAAGGAGCCACTGCTGCTGCCCCCGCCTCTCCGGCTCACACCTCGCCCTC